AAATTGGCAAAAGCAGTTGCTCATGGCTCTTTCACTGGCGCACTTCATTTTTTATGACACAATTTATAATTGTATTATCTTTTTCACCACCAGACTTTCCACCAAAATTTTTCTTCATTTTTTTAAAAATATTCTCCAATATTTCTGGAAATGAGCAATCAGACAAAATTTGCATAAATTTTCAGTTTTTCTCAAAAAATTTGGCTTTGTTTCAAACTTCTGAATGAATGTGCAGACTATAAACAGGACTATTTTGGGATTTTGTGATGAAAAGAGGGAACTAACTTAATCCTCATGGGGACACCAAGTCTTTTTAACACCTCATCTTACGAAAGTCTCCACCGTTAACCAAGTTGAAGTGTATATAACGGCACCAGGCATTGTTAAATATCATCAAAACAAATGCATTTCAAAATAAATTTCTACCACCTGCTTAGATGGTGAATATTCAACAGCTGTCAGATGGCGTGTACCAGTTTCTATCGTGTGTAAAAGAATAAAAAATGACCATGTGGCGTGGATGCATGCACGCACCTGTCAATTTGAATCAACAAATTAGTCAGCTGTTAAAATAAAATATCTTTGTGTCTAACAACCAGATAAACTAGTCAAAAAGACAATCCAGGAAAAATGATATGTACACAAAGTACTGTTAAATCATCATTTGCAATTGTATACATGGACAAAATTCAGTCACAGCGAGTCTCTGGCTTAAGAACCTGGTTAAATTTGTACTGCTATTACATGTATTGTATTTTAGGATTTGTGCTTACTCGCAAAATTTTTTAAAATTCATCCTCAAAATCAAAACGATTCTGTAGTTGGTGAACAAGATGTTAGAGCTCAATATATCATTGTTTTGTATAGCACAATTTTCAATTGCAAAATAAACCATAATATAATTTCAAAGACACCAACGTTAGCAATTGACTATAGTTAATATTATGTTTAAACACTGGCAGCTGTTCAAATCAACGATTTTAAATATTGTTTATATTTTCATACTCTCTGATCAAGGTGGATCATCCTTCAAACTTTAATGTCAGCATGATCAGTTGCCATGGTAACTGCAGATAATTTGTGAAATCCATCAACAACTGCGATATGATGGCACTTGTTCTGAGTACTCCAGTACTCTGCGTAATGTTAAATGCCCAGAAAGAGGTGGGGGAGAGACAGAGAAAAAAAAAAAAGATTAATATTGCTTTTATGATGTACAGATATAATTTGCTCTAATAGGTTTATCTACTGTTGATAAGATTCATAGGTCTTAACACATACTGTATTATTCATGGATCAATAAAATGCTATGCTGAGGTAGACATATATATAACAGTTATGTATAAATTCCAAATTGTAAGCTTTTCTCATGGAGCTCCGATTCCCCTGCTTAATTAGTTGTTATATTATATGCTGGTGGGATGATATATTGATTTCTGGCGGCCATGGAGAATAGAGAATTGGTCATAATTCAAAAAGTTGGCTCCATACAACTTTTTTCTGTAGCCAACAAACAATTGGCCAATCCTAGGCCAGATCGCAGTCTATATGTACAAACAATTAGCCAATCCTGGACCAGATCACAGTCTATATGTACAAACAATTAGCCAATCCTGGACCAGATTGTGATCTATATGTACAAACAATTGGCCAATCATGGACAAGATCACAGTCTATATGTACAAACAATTCGCCAATCCTGGACCAGTCACAGTCTATATGTACTACAAACAATTCGCCAATCCTGGACCAGATGTGAGGGATTGAACAATACAGCAATTGCATAAATATTATTGTATAAATGTTACTAACATTTTGATCAAAAATATAATGAATTTTTACTGACAGAATATTATTTTACAGTCAGATTGTAGTACACTAATATTAGGATTAAGACATTGTGGTTTTCTCCACAGAGGTTAGAACTCATGTACATTTAATATTATTGAAATTTTCATCAGTTATTTGAAAGGGACATCAAATAAACATTGCTTTCAGTTTATTGTTGACAAGTATGCTGCAACTTCAATACTGGATTTTCAATAAATAATCTTTTTCTTGCGTCTGTTTTTAGGAAATTGCTTCTATGTAGTTTTATTACTTTCTTTCTTCTATGTTATAACGAATCCCTTCACATACATTTGCATCAAATATGAAATATTGATAATTTTCTCATAAATAATGTGTTCCGTATAGCACACATCCCCTTGGGAGCTTTAGGTCATGGTTCAGCTTAATGACCTATTTAAAAATAACATAGATGTAATTCAGAAGACGGCGGAAGTGAATTTTTATCGGTGTTTTCTTTTCTTCATGCTTTAGTGGGTTGGCAGCGTATACTTTTCAATAATTGCTTCGTATAAATGTAACAAATTTTATACTTCATTTTAATTAGAAGACTGCTTTGATGAGTATCATAGATCACTCGGTGATCTCAAGGGAGCCATGTTTTTGATGGCATATATCGATGATAAATAAACAATTATCTTCTGAATAATTCTTTTATTTTCCTCTTGAAAAATCTTCTTTTTTTTTTTTTCATGTCAGGTTCTTCCTGGTTATCTCTCTAGTACATGTATTGTGCATGTATGTAGCTACAGTTGTATATTTATGGTGACTTACATCGTTCACTCTTCTTATCACTGCTGTGTATTTGTTATCTAGTATCGACTACTCCGTGTATGCGATTTTATTCAGTTTGTTATATGAAACTGTGTGATATTAATATAGCATAGCTGGTCACCAGAGTTGTGTTCAGTGTTCAATTGTATTCTTCAGTAGTATATACCATCCATACCTGTAAATTAAAACCAACCAATCAGGGCCTACAAACAATTAGCCACTTATATTAGTGTATTTTTCTATCCCATAATTTTTCTATCCCATAATTTTTGTTTGGACCAAATGGATAACATTTTTTTTTGGCTATAGGTGTAGATCAAATTTGTTGAAAAAAAAAATACTGCTAAACAAAGTGTCAGGTTTGTGTCTCTACACACACAAACACACATACACCATCTGCACAAACTTGTATAAAATATTTTCTACAACTACCTCTAATTTTGGTCCTAATTTGTTTGTATTAAAATGATCAAAAATTGTAATTAATATTTATTCATTGAAATATGACATGTTACTTGTGTTTTTAGGGAACAGCGCCCCCAATGTCATTATAGCATTCTTTTGAAAAATTCTCCATTTTGTTTTGTTTTTATCCCTTGAAAAGGAAGGGGGATGCAAAGTGGTTGTAATTGACTGCAGATATCATCATAATTAAAAAGTCATAAGTTCATACAATATTTCTAGTAATTAATGAGCATGTTGACTGCCATGGAGTTGCCATAGAAACTCCACTACTGGTATCTTGTATTTTGCCATATTCTTCCGCTTCGAATGGTTTAAACCTTTCACAGAAATGCATGTCCATGCATAGAATTGTACGATAATATGCAAATGTGATAATCTGTCGCATTTTTATGTACGTGTAGCCTGCTCTCCACCTTTATCGCATAAATTGACATTTTTTTTCCTCCACACGATTCATGTTACTCAGACAAATTAATTTTTTCATGGGCGAGCACTTCACCAACTCAAGGGACGAACCTGTTTCTGTCTTCTTATTTTTTTAGCTCCGCTGTCGACTTTGTCGAGCGGAGCTTATCATATGAGTGATTGTCCGTCGTCGTCCGTGTCAATGTTTTACTTTTTCGACTTCTTCTTGAAAACTACAAGCCTAAATGCTTTGATACTTGGTGTATATGTACCTTGGGTAGACCTCTCTTAGGTTTGTTCATTTCATGTTGATATCTTTAATTCTCTAATTTTGGTGAATATTTTTGTCATTTTTGATAAAAACTGATATTTTCGACTTCTTGTTAAAAACCGCAAGTGCAATTGCTTTGATATTACATCTATAGGTACTACATGTGGACCTCTCTCAGATTTATTAATTTTGTAATGATATCTTTAATTCTTTAATTTTGGTGAATATTTTTGTCATTTTTGGTAAAAACTGATATTTTCGACTTCTTGTTAAAAACCGCAAGTCCAATTGCTTTGATACTACATATATAGGTACTACATGTGGACCTCTCTCAGATTTGTTCATTTCGTGATGATATCTTCAATTCTCTAATTTTGGTGAATATTTTTGTCATTTTTGGTAAAAACTGATATTTTCGACTTCTTGTTAAAAACCGCAAGTGCAATTGCTTTGATATTACATATATAGGTACTACATGTGGACCTCTCTCAGATTTGTTCATTTTGTGATGGTATCTTCAATTCTCTAATTTTGGTGAATATTTTTGGTAAAAAGTGATATTTTCGACTTCTTGTTAAAAACCAAAAGTTCAATTGCTTTGATATTACATATATAGATACTACATGTAGACCTTTCTTAGATTTGTTCATTTCGTGATGATATCTTCAATTCTCTAATTTTGGTGAATATTTTGGTCATTTTTGGTAGAAAGTGATATTTTTGACTTCTTGTTAAAAACCGCAAGTCCGATTGCTTTGATATTACATATATAGGTACTACATGTGGACCTCTCTCAGATTTGTTCATTTTGTGATGATATCTTCGATTCTCTAATTTTGGTGAATATTTTTGTCATTTTTGGTAAAAAGTGATATTTTCGACTTCTTGTTGAAAACTGTAAGTCCGATTGCTTTGATATTACATATATAGGTACTACATGTGGACCTCTCTCAGATTTGTTCGTTTTGTGATGATATCTTCAATTCTCTAATTAATTTATTTTGGTGAATATTTTTGTAATTTTTGGTAAAAAGTGATATTTTCGACTTCTTGTTAAAAACTGTAAGTCCGATTGCTTTGATACTATTCATATTGTTCATTTTCTAATGATGTCTTCAGTTCTTTAATTGAAATGTGCATTGCTAACAGCGGAGCTATCTCAGCCGATAGGCTGCTTGTTTATTATTTAGCAAGATCATAATCGTATGATTTTTTTTACATTTCACAATATTTTCAGAATCATATAATTCGAGAACAAATGAAAACACGGTCAGTTATCGGAGAAGATGGTCCCCTGCGGAGTTCTTCAGAAACGGGTAGTCAGAGTAGCAATGATGAAGTTATCAGTCAACAACTACATTCTAAGGTATTTAGATTCTAGTTTGATTGAATAATGAGTTGATGATGGATCTTTTGACAGGTGAAAACCCCTTTTGCACTCAGGTGAGGCAGATAACGTCAACTAAACTTGTTGCCAGAAATCGGTTATTATAACACAACAAAATCAGTTGAACTCCAGCCGCAAGGGCTGCCGCAAATTACTTCTTGGATGACTTTATGAGATCACGGCAACTGTATCCCACAAATTGTCATTTTATGTGCATTACGAATACCTAATATCATAAAAAACGATGCTTGCGCTTGCAATTGTACGATTTCCAGTTCATCCAAGAAGCAATTATCAATATATAGCTTGATATTTTGTCAAATTATAATAATTGTTCAATTGACCTCTGACCTTTAAATTGGTCGTCTATTGCACTGCATTAGTTTTATTGTGCATAACCACTTCTACTGAATACCACCTAGCAACAAGTAATTCCTGCAGTATCGGTGTTGCTATGAAATTATGGCTTGTATCATCATATTTTCTTCAGATAATCAACCTTTATGAAGGCCGGTTATTGTTAGAACCTGCCCCCGAGTATGATCAATTTGCCTGTCATACATGTATTTCCCCGGTTTTGTACAATGGCACCTCCCGCCGAGGGAATAATGTGTTTATCTTGCACGTATTTTGTATTTACAATCACAGAGATATTCAAATGGTTCTATTGACCCGGATGACGATGTTAACCGAGTGATAGAATTACAAGGTACTTTAGAAAAACAAAATCATGAATATAGCCTTGCAAAAGACCGGATTGAGCAGCTGGCAGCGAGGGTGGTCGAATTGGAAGATAATTTGTCGACGTCGCAGCGGGAAATTATCAAGGCTCAAGAATCATCTACAAAATACCAGAAAGATCTTAGAGAGGTGAGTAGTCATGACAACCAAGTTAGTAAGATCTAGCCGATCTAGTATAGCTTAATTGTGGGCATTTTCATGAAAACTGAACACATACGTCACTTTTTTAATTTTTTTGATTTCGCCGATTTTGTCATAGAAAATCCACAAAATCCTGTAGCAGTTGAAATGCCACTTGAATTGACAAGGAGCTATGTGAAAAAAGGTTTATGGAGTATGATTTGCACAAATAATAAATAATTTTTTTTATTGATATCTTTGTTTTAGTCAATGGCTCAGAAAGAAGATATGGAAGAAAGGATAACAACGCTGGAAAAAAGGTACCTCAGTGCGCAAAGAGAATCCACATCAGTACATGAACTCAACGACAAGCTAGAATCTGAATTAGCCAATAAGGAAGCTGCTCTTAGACAGGTATGTATTTTTCACATGCCTAAGGATTCTTTTTTTTTTGTACCCTTTAAGTTGGTTATTATGAAGTTCAAACAACTTATGAGTTAGCTCTCGGGCATTTTGAGTTGATGAATTTTGTTTTTCTCTGTTGATAAATAAAAATTACAATAAAGTCTTTTGAATGTTTTTTGTGTATAATTTTTATTTGATCAATTTGTGCGGTATATGATTTTACACATAGAGTGAAGAGAAAAACCGAAATGTGCAAGAAAGATTAGAACTTTCTGAACAGAAACTCCAGCAGTTGATTCGAAAAGCTGAACAGCTTCCGGGAATGGAGGCTGAATTGGCGCAGCGCATGGCGGCACTGTCGCAGGTGAGACAAATGGTAACTATGACAACGCTTATTACTCAATTTCTCTATGATATTGCATGTTTTTGTGATCCATTTTATGCACGCCACTTATGATTTACTGTTCTGTCTTGTGATTGTGTTCCTGATGTCCGAACAAACATGAAAAAGAGTTTGATTGAAGATTTTGACAAATTGAATTCACTGACGGCAAGTGACTTTCATTTGTACGGCATGGCCTTGGCATGACAGTCACTCACTGATGGAATCTACAATGGCTGATATGGATTAACATGCATGTATCTAGAAATTGGATAGTATCCACAACCAGTCATAGCATAGGAATGCCCCTGAATCTGAATAATTAACAAGTTAACCATTTGAACGCCATGTTGTTTCTCGCCAAAATTCGATGCAAAATTTCGCAAATATGGAAGTTGGACCAAATATACATAATTATCTAGTGACTAAAGGTCTTGGTCAATTTATTTGTGAAAATTATTTAGATTTATTTGTAAAAGGCAACAAAAGTTGAATTTTGCGTTCAAAGAGTTAACAATTAGAGGCATTCTTTTCTTGTGTGTGTGTGTGTGCATTTTATTTACTCCTTGCATGACTTTTTTTAGTTGAGTTGAGTTTTTGGACTGCACCATTTGATCTGGGGGAAGGGTTCAACAATAACGTAAATCAGAATTCATCTTAACTTTATGTAATTTTGTGATTATCAACACATTTATAATTGGTCCTTTGTTGAGAGGGGAAAGAAGGGAGATTATTATTTGCCCACTTATTATGTTTACAATAAGGTTCTCGGTAATAAAAAATTATAATTATGTGTCGGTGCTTTTCGGATGGTTTTCAGTCACCTATAGTAGGTAGTTGATTTGTGCAGAAAATGATTGTTCTGTAGAAAAAAAAAAAATTCAAAATGTGAAAATTACGAAAATTATCATCTGGACAACCAAATGAACCAAGCCTACGCAATCCAGCAGTATAAGAAAAACTGCAACGACCTGAGAATGCAAGTCTAAATTAGCAATTATCAGATTAGAATTATCTATAATAGAAATAACTGTGAATTGCTTAAATTTGACCAAAGCCAAATCATGAAGAATTGTCTCTAGTGATGATTTCACCTGCATCCTTGAATGTCTTTTGTAAAATTTTCCTTTTGCGAAACTTCTCAAACTATGAAATCACACCAACCGTTAGCGTTGAAAATTTAACGATTTACAGTACATACTCAAAACTTAGTTTAATTTGGTTTAGTTTAGTCAAATAAAGTTATTCTAAACAAAGGAGAATGTCTAACCACTTGGCAGACCACTAGATAAATATTCTGCAAACATGGCAACACATCCATAACGTATTTTACTAGTTTTGTCGGGGCATGAGTTGACAGATGTATGACTCCTTTATTTCTATTCTATGTGTGTTATCTGCTTCACTATATTTAAACCCACAGGCGGAAGAACGGCAAGGGAACGCCGAAGAAAAACTTAATCAACTTAGGTCTGAACTGGAAGAATGCAAACAAGAATTAGAAAGGGTGAGATTACTATTAAGTATTCATGGATTTTGTGATTATTATTGATTTTAAAAATCATTATGGGTTTCGATTGATATTTATTATTCAAAATTATTGAATGCTTGGTGTGTTGTTCCTCAAGTATTTTTTGCCAGCTGACTGTTTGTTACTACTGTACTGTTGAGTACTGACATATAGTGCATTTGCCATCGTAACCATATTCTATTTTTGGAACTGTGAGACCCGGCTGTGAAACACGGCTGTGAAACCAGGTCTCATCATAATGCATTATATTCCAGTGTCAACCATGCATTGGTGGTATACACACACATTTATCCAAGGTTCCTCCGTTGCATCGTTTAGCGAACGAATTCTTATAATGCAATGCACAAAACAAGTTAACACATTCTAAAATTAAAGTTGCACACATAACTGCATTTTAGATTTTCACCACCAGACTTTCTCATCAAAATTTTTCTGCACGTTTTTCTTATATTTTTCAATATTTCTGGAAGTGAACCCTAATTTTGGAGCCAACAGACAAAATTTGAGGCAATTTTCAGTTTTTACTCGAAACATTTGTCTATTTTTATCCCAATCTTCTGAAAGAAAGTGCAGACTTTATAAACGGTACTATTTTGTGAAATCGTTATGAAAAGAGGGAACTGGTGGTGAAAAGGTTAAGATACTGGGATTTGATCATTATACATATAATTTCGTTTCCTTGCTGCAATGTCTACCACAAATGGAGGATGAATGATTTGTAACATGTTTGCTTTCATTCATTTGGAAATACTGTCTAGACGATATTGCACAGACAAGTAGACAATCTATTTTCTGTACTGTATTCAGTCTATTAGAAGTGCTGTGTGGCTCACCAAACTGCCCTGGGCACTTCTAATACAACCAAATCATACATTTTTGACTTTTGCAATTATTGCCTTCTCACTGTTTAGTTAAAAACTCTTTTAATGCCAAAACTGTTGTCACCTCTCCCAAAATAACTGCACAATTTTTTCATATTTTTTTTTTCCCACCAATTTTTGTCATGACCAGTGTCCAATAAGAAATTATACTCATTTGTTTTGAAATACTTTCAGAAAAATGTGCAAAATAATATCCCAAAATTTGGCAGGAAATGATTCCAGAGGTTCAAAGGTTAATGTAGTTATTTATTATCGTTCACAGGCGCGGGAGAGGGAGAAAATGAATGAAGAACACAATAAAAGACTGTCTAGTACTGTCGATAAATTATTATCAGAATCAAACGAGAGGCTGCAGCTTCACTTGAAGGAAAGAATGGCTGCATTGGAAGATAAAGTAAGTTTGTGACGAGATAAATAATGTGTGGAAAAGTGATGGAGTTGGTGGGTGTACTTGTGGGGATTGTATGTGGGGGTGTGGGGCATAGGACTGGTATGTGGTCATAAGATTCATATCTGGAGACAAAGGACTGGTGTGTGGGCAAGGGAGTCGTGTGGAGATAAAGGACTGATGTGTGGGCAAGGGAGTCATGTGGAGGCAAAGGACTGATGTGTGGGCATGGGAGTCATGTGGAGACAAAGGACTGATGTGTGGGAAAGGGAGTCATGTGGAGACAAAGGACTGATGTGTGGGAAAGGGAGTCGTGTGGAGACAAAGGACTGATGTGTGGGCAGGGGAGTCGTGTGGAGACAAAGGACTGATGTGTGGAGGTAAACGAGGGCATTGTAATAAGCAGGGATTGAATAAGGTAAAGTGAGGAAGGAAAATAAAGCAAAGGTAAAGGGTTTTGAAAGTCCTAAGGGCAGGAAATTGTCAAGTGTAGAGACATAGTAGTGATAAGGAAAAAAAACACATCCAAGACGAGAAAATGGTTTGGTTCGAGTGTAAATCTGTGCGTCAAATGAGGTGCATTTGTAAAATCTTTTTACACCCACCCGACAACCAACTGCTACGCAATACTACTGTCCGATTATCAATTTGTATTTAATGGTGAATGTAGTCTGACGCCATGACCAATATTTATCAATTAAGTTTCAGTGGGGGGTAGGGGGTTTTGGAAAAAAACTAAAGAAATTAAGTTTTTTATCTGACATCGATCTTTTGACGTCGTCCCTAACTACAGAGGGATATGAACCTGAAAGCAATTGTCTCGATTGTAACTGGTTCTATTATTGATCAGACGCCAACATGAAATGGAATTAATGTTTTGTAATAATCCCTTTAAACTTCATTATATCACTTTTATCGATTGTGATTGTGATCGTGCATCAGTGAAATCAAGACGACAGGTGGTTGAACACTGAACATAGGATGCAATAGATAACTGAACAAGTTACTCGTCATCGTCGTCTTCCTGTTACTGCTCGCAATTTTTATTACCTCGGTTTAACCATGTTTGTCTGTCTGCTTCTAGAATTCGTTAACTCAGGAATTAGATAGAACGAAGAAGATGTTGGAAGACACGCAGTCTGACAATAAACGACTAGCAACGGAATTAGCGAAACTTAGAGCAGAATTTGACAATTTCAAAAAGAAAACAGATAAACTAAAGCAGGAATCCATGTCAAACAGGTAATATAGCTGTGCTTTTTCTTTTATTATGCAAATTGTGTCAGTAAATATTACCATACTTGCCCTTAAATGGAAATTCATGTGCTCACGTAAATTACTTCGTATAATGGTTATTTTAGTGTACCTAAAATACTAATACAACCAAAACACTATTATTGCCTCACATACACTTCTATTGGTGATTCGTTTCTTATGGAGCAAATTTGGTTTTCACATATGAAGTAGTATTATGGGATGTGGTGGTTGCCACTGCTGCATACTATACCAGTTCCCAAGTGCTTGATCTATATTTTCAATATATTCCTCTAAATTTAACACTGAGGGTGCTGTTCAATGTAATGACTATATTCTATTGGTAGTTACTGGTAAGTGCAGCACTGTAGAACAACTGCTTACATTTACTACACTGATATATTTTGTAACCGTTTTGACCCCATTTTGGAGAGCGTCCCCAGTCTCCAATACATGAATTTTGCAATCTTGGCATGATATCAGCAGTATCGTGGCTTATACGCTTAACGTCCTACACAACATTAATTATTTGTTATGTTCTTGTTTATAAAGTTTAGTTTGAAATTGGTTATTGTTATTTACATTAATTATTATATAAATATATTGAGAGAATTTTTGTATTCTATTGCATCAGTAGCTGCATCATTAGCGGCCCATGTAGAGATTATAGTGAACTCTCAGCAAAAGGGAATATTTTCTTTCAAGTCAAGTTGTTGTAAACCACTCATATGAATTTCTTTCATTTTGCATCAGCTTTTAAATTACTACTAGTCGACAAATAGGATACATGTGACTATGAATAATAATGATTGTATGCCACAATTGTGATAATAAATTGTGTATGTCTGGAAATGTCATCCTGAAATGTCATCCTCAAAAGGTCAAATAGACAAACCGGAAATATACATGCACCTGCAATAAACAAGGATTTAATGATAGCATTCAATATTATGGGCTTATAAAAACTTTATAGCAATGCTCAAAAAAAACACAAAAAAAACACTGCCATTAAAGTTGCTCTTTGTTACCATTTCTGGAGCTTCGTGTCAAGTTTTTAGACTATTACGTGAAATATTTGATTGTCAGAATTTGTAAGTAATTCATAACAAAAACAAATCTTTGCAAATTCACATGTTCCCGAACACTGTCCAAAATCACTGGCAAATGAAATCCCAATACAACTATATGAATGTTCACAAAGTGCAACTTTAAATGCACATATTTAATGCAGATGCTCTGATTTACAAGATGTATGTCTTTTTTTTTTCTCCCCAGGAGCGAAGTTTTAGATAGCAATAGCAAGAACCCATCCTCACATCATAGCTACCCTGTGGATGCAAACGTAGTTGTAAATAAAAATACGACGACAATCACGGATAATGATAGCAATACCGTGTCAAGTAGTAATTCTAGTAACAATCCAACTCGTACTCTTAGTAATATTAGTAGTAACACAAATACCAGTAGTGCTATACTTAGGCGGCAACAGAAGGGAAGATTGGAGGCATTACAAACTGATCCCAGCAAGGTAAGAATGTAGGAGTGTCAATTCAGGGTTTTGACGATTTTAACGCTTCAGGAGTATCGTAGGTCTTTGAATTTCTTTTAACAAAACAATATATTTTATTGTATTCATCAGATTGGACCCATATCAAACACAACATGTCATGACTGATCTGTAATTTAACAAACATGTCGATTTTAGATTTTTGCGGACACTGCTAAGTAACAAAAATGGAGAAAATTTAAAAACTCTACAAATTCTCGATTAGTTACATTAAATTAGCTAATCAAAAAAATATAATGCTCGAAAAATTTTCAATAGAAAATGATGATACCCGACTCTGGTTGCCAGTTTGGGCTTTTTGTTCTGTTTTCTTAGTTTACAGTTGACAGCACAAGCAAACAAAAGAATGGTTTGGGTGGGAAAATTGAGAATACATGATTTTCTAGCAGAATACAGCATTTCTATATTAAATTAAAAACATAAAAAGTGAAAGGAGTTCTGAGCAGAATTGGTGGCTAATGTAACATGTTTTTGAGTAAAAATAATTTTAAAATAATTACTTGTTTTTTTTGCTAAAATGAACACCATATTTTAGAAAAACACCAGGACTTCTGCTCTCAATTATTCATCATTTGTTTTTGTGTGCATATTGTAAAACAAAAACATTTCTTTCTGTGAATTGTTTCCTTTCCAGGTGCACACTTTAAATGAACAAGAATGGGAAAAAGTACAGCAAGCCAGTGTCCTAGCAAATGTAGCACAAGCATTTGAGAGTGAGAGCTCACCACTTCAGTCGGAAAATGAATCAGAATCTGTATTTGGTGCCGTTGACATGTTGTCTCCTTCAGGGCATACAGATGCCCAAACTTTAGCAATAATGCTTCAAGAACAATTAGATGCTATTAATAATGAAATTAGGTGAGTGTTCACTCTTATCACAAGAGGGCGCTGTGCTGGTCTGATGCTATTTCAAACAGTGGTTAAAAAATAGACAAATACTGTAACCCTTGAAATTGTCTTAGAATCTTGTACATCAAAATACTGTGAATTTTTTTGAGAACTGGTCAAATCCAGCCAGGAACTGGTCAAATCCTGCTGGAGAACTGGTCAAGTCCAGCCAAGATTAATTCAAAAGTGATTTCCTTCAATCTTTTTAGCAACCAAAGTCAACTTGAAGTCGCCGTTCACAAAATAAAACCAACATAATTTTTTGGCCGAATTTTTCATCAAGACTTGTACCCAATAAGCAGTTATACCCATTTTAACAAAATTATCAAGAAAATTATTTTAAAAAATTGTAACAAAAAGCAAATGTTGCACCAACATTTTGATGGAAAAGATTATGGCATTTAAAATGTTACCGTATTACCCCGGGCACGCGCCCAGGGGCCTGAACATACAAAATTGGGAAAAATTGGGGGTGGGCGCTTACCCGAGGACCACCCCAAAAAAGATTTTTTTGTGATCGTATGATAAGGTCAAATAAAGGAATGCTTTCATACACTTTGTACACGAACTTATTTCTTGATTTATGCGAGGTTTCAATAAACCTGAGCACTCGGTCAAGAACTGTGGGAACACTAAGACACAGGGTCGAATTTCAAGAATAAAACTTGTTTTATGTCAGCGAATGAAGTTGTATTACTCACTGAAATTGGCTACAAAGTATGGTAAGTATTGTAATCAATGCACGGTTACTTTTTTAGTACCGGTAACCGTGATCAGTGCAAGTCGAAACAGCCGGGAAAAACTACCACTTGTAATCCAAGATGGCGATGACCTCATTAGCATAATTTTGTTGATGCACGTATTGATACATCGCATCGTAATTACTGAAGAATAGCAGACAGGGTTATAAAACAAATAAACCTTTTATTACTGATGTGAAATGTTTACAAACTATTGTGAATACATAAACATATCCAAATGGC